AGTATAAACAGACTAAACGGTTGAACACTCGAAACGGTTGTGGACTGTTTTTAGAGACGTAAAATTTCTAAAACTTAAAAAGATATTTGAATATTTTTATATTTATTTTTTCTTAAATTTGTCTAATTTACAATATACAGTGTGATCAGGGAACCAATGCATTTTTTTTTTGTAAATTTTAACGAGGTGATACTTAAAAAGTTGGTTTTTACTATTTTACCTACATTTTCTGATGTATGTGAATCAACCATCAATTTTGGTCGAAAAATACGACCAATGCTTATTCTGGTCACAAGCGTAGTCCTAAACTAACCAAAACTGTGACCCCATGACGAAGCATTTTCGACTGTTGAATATTTCGCCGAAAATTTTCCGAATAGAATCTGGGGCACTAGCTACGATTTAATAATATACAAAAATTTTAAATTTTCGAAAAGAAAATTGCCAAAAATGTCTTTTCTCTACTCCCTTCTGTAAAATACCTAATGATACATCGACCTAGCGTGCGGAAAGTATCATTTTATCCCGTCAGTTTGGTTGCCCACCGCTCCGAGCCCCTTCGGACATTTCTGGGATATTACCGCACAGGTTTGGGAGCAACAGAATGTTTTCGGGGATTTTACCGCTCAGCTTGAATTTTGACGGTCATGTCAGTGAACATTCTTTCCTTTTTTATGCAATGTTGCTCTCCAAGGGTCAAATGAAATGTATTATGATGCTGGTTGATTTTTTTTTTCATTTGCTGATTAGATGAAAATGTAAATGCCATTTTAGCATTGTGAAATGAAAATCTTTTCTGCATTGCAATTGCATTTTTAAAAAAAAATTATTACTGTTATCATTTACACTTTTTCTTACTCCCCTTTTAAACTAGAAGGAAAACGCGAACCTTCGTTTAAATTGTGACCAGCATTATCAGATATTTGGTTTACGGCTTGAATTTTTACGTTTGTCATGTCAAGGAATGTCTTCGTGTTGTTTTACAAAAACTAATGATCGTAGAAAAAGTATAGTATGCAACAAGATCGGTAAACTTTTTAAATCATTCAAAGACTCGAATGCCATTTACCACACTTGTTACATATTATACTATTTTGAGTTATGCGTTCTTTGCAAGCAAATAAATTCATTCACTTTGTCGGTGCCCATATGATAAAGAAGATCGACTAAATGTTCAAGCCTTTCTTTGTTACCAAACAGGTTCAGCAACACAATGGATCTTGTCTCATTATTTAAAATCCCATTTTATTTGGCAGTATATACTATAGCAGGACCTATATATTTCCAGCAAACATTTATTTCGTTAGTGATTGCTTTTTCGCCGTTTTTGATGTCTAAGTTCCGTTTTTAAAATATAATGTATGATATATTTGTAAACGGCTAATTTTGTTTACTAGTTAAAATAATTATTTTTGATGCGGCCCTGTCCTCGTGCAATTATCAGAGCACCCCTTTCCCGTCTGTTATTCACAATAATGCGGCTATCCCTATAGGTTTAGCCAGCCGGTCGACCTTTACAGTCCCCAAATCATTTTGCTTTTAAGGTCCCCTGCGAAGGATGTAAGTAGTGTACGTCAGTCGGCAATAGTCTCGTCACGATAGCGGTTCGTTTTGTAAATATTGTAAAAAATATCTGTATATTTGTATAGCAACTACGTTTCTAGAAAACTGTTTGGTAAATAGATTGCGTTCGATCAATTCGTTCTTCATAAAGTCGGTTACGCAAAAAGCATTTTGATTAGCGGAAGTTCATCTGAATGTGCCGTTGAATTACTTTGAAAATTAGGAACAAAATGGTACGTAAATCCTAAGAGACGAAGAAATATTTTTCTGCTTCATTGTGTTGATCTTCTATCTGGCATGTATTTATATCCCGAGTATTTGAACGAAGTCCGGTAGATGCCGTTTTGGGGTGGATTCTTGGTCATTTGCTGCTTGGCGTGTTTGTTGAATGTCTTGTTATGCGAGATGTTATGAGTGATAGTATTCTAGTGGTCTACAGTTATTATATAAAAATAGATCAACCAGGAACTATCAGCCATCTCAACATTTTCATTTTACGTGTTTAGTCACGTAATTTCACAAATAGAAAATTCGGTTTTCATCTTAAATAAACTTTCGTTTTCGAGAAGTCAAAACGTTATCTGTCTGTTGAGGTGCCTGTACAGAGCATTAAGATTACATGAATGAAACTTTCAAAAGTGCCTGTAAAGTTTTAAGGAAGGCAATTAAAAAGTTCTTCCAAGTTGCTCCGTATTCTGCGTTGCTACTTAATAATTTCGATAAATTATTTGAGCATTTTGGCTTCTTGTGACTCTAGGTACATCTACTAAGTGGCTAGTAAAATTTCGATGAAAATGTAAATTTTGATCTGCTAGGTATCCTGTCTTTAATCTGCTGTTCCGTCTCGAAAAGCAGTATTTATTTCACCAACAACTTCAGTTAAAAAATTGATGGATTAAAGTGAATTTTTATTTTCATTTTGGCACTCAGTTTAATTATACTTTCCTATTTTTGTATGCGATTTAAAAAAAGATGCATATATTAAATAGTGTAATAAATCAATTCATCAAACAATATAGTACTATTGCAACTTACCTGGACTTTTACGTAAAATTCATCTCTGTAATTTGCCTTTAATACGGTGTTGTAACAATAAGTTTAAGTCTCATCAGGTTTTGAATTTTCTACTTATCTGATCCTGAATTGCACTTTGCTACACGTTCCCATTAGTCCTGAATAAATTGATAGTGTTAAATGTCTCCGTAAAACAAAAATGCATTATGCATTTTATACATCAATGATCATACATATCAATAGCAATAATATGGGATGATGCCTCCAATAAATTGTGGAAATTGATTCAAAGTGGCAGCTGTATAGTATTACAACCTGATGCGCACATTATTCGAGGATTTTTAAATTAATTAATGGGATAATCCCTTAGAAATGCCTCTCTTAACCCTTTTTCGAAAAATGTTTTTTGCTATTTGCTATCGTTGATATAGGAGAGTGATGCTGAACTGTTGTCTTATCTTGTTGTCTAAAAGTTCGATATGGATGTCTTGTCTTCTGCATGGACTTTCTCGTACCATGATGGTTTTACCTGCTCTGAAAAGAAAAATGACCATGTAATCATTATGAATTGAATTGAGATTTGTCCAATAATAACAAATCATGACAATACATTTTATTTTGCAGTATCCTCCCTCCAATTTTTCAATTTTTTACAACTCTTTAGTTCGTAAATTTTGAATCCTCCACCTGCATATTATTTATTCCCGTATAGGTTTTGTTTCAAGGTAACTCATTAATCCCGTAACACTAGAAATACTGATAAACTAAGATGTAACCTCGCAACTAGGTATGTGCAGGGATGCTTCCACAACAGTAGTGGATTCCTTCCTTAACCGGTATTCATTAATGAGATAGCAGATATGTTTCACTTCTGTGTCGTCTATTTCGTAGTTTTTTTTTAAATAATTCTCAATATTTTACACGAGCATAATTTTGGATGAAAACGGAATATTTGTTTTTTTTTTTCTGTGCGCGGTAACACACATCGCCAAGTCAGATAGTAATTTCAATTCGTTCGATATAATAAAACGACTTCGCTAGCTGGCAAAACGCAAACCGATATTTTTAATTATCGGTCGCCCGAGAAAATAAAAGTGCTATTGTTATAACGTCTGCTACTTTTAAAAAGCTGCATCGTCAGCTAAAAAACTAAACGGATGCCTCTCGAATCCGATATCAAGCCCGTCACGTTTCTGAGAATGTGGATAATTCAATTTCGTTCAAGTATTCACGGTCCTAGACATGTCCTTCCAATAAATAGCCTGAAGAATTACAAGGATTCGACGTGATATTTTTAATTTTGTTTTTTTTTTAGAGAATGGGACATTAAACTGCCTTTTTTTTAGTCAAAATAATTCGATTTAACCATATTTAGATGAATTCAATAGATATAGCATAGCGCGTTAAATTTGAAAATTAAAATTAGATATTTGTTGTTGATAGTTTGGAAATTGCCGATACGAAACAAAATTTTGTTTGTTGCTAAAATACGGGGAGAATGGAATAGATGATTGATAAAATAAAATAATTGAAATTGGAATTGAAACCAAAATCCAATTATAATTATTGCATTAGTAAAATCACTTGGATCTCCCATTACAAATTTACATAAAAACCAAATCGAGAAAATACAAAAAACATTTTCTCATTATGTATGGTATTATAGGAAGCATAGAGTTTATAAGGGATGGGGGTTTTTGTTTCGTAGAGAGTATGTTTTTTTACTTTGATTCCCTTGAGATCAATTGGAAATTGCATTCGTTCGTGTTTACTTTTTCCATTGTGAACTACCTGGTGTGTCAGGATTTCCCATGAACTTCATTAAATTTAATATCCAAACCTAATCTTCATCTTACAAATAAGAAGGACCTTCCGCGCTTATAACCTAATAATACTTTGAAATAAACATTAGGTAATATGAAAAAGTAATACGTGAAAGAAAATATAATTAAACACAGAAACAGATTATTCGAAGGATATTTTATTTATTACTTTTATAAGCAGGCCCAAAAGCACATAATATGCTAAAATCTCTGGGCAGCAAAAATTTTAATAACTATGCGTTTGCTGTTGCTCCGTATTTTTTTGTTTTGTTTTAACAAGTGTTCGAACAGGTATAGAGCATGAATAATAGCTCTAGTATATTTGGTACAAAGGGGGTTTCAATTATTTGTTCTTTATTTTTTTAAGACGCAATATCAAATAGGCGATTTGTAAAGGACGTTCTTTTTACTATGTGCGAGTTACTAATGCTTTGCGTTTTTGGTTAAGTAAATGTGCGATTTGCTTTTCGTTGGTCAAATATTCAATTTTTTCGCGAACCCCGTTTATTGTTACCGTCATAAAGCAGTGTGTGTGTGGGATTTAAAAATGTATGTAGGTTAAGCTGCATCGATAAGATTTTAACGCATTTTTCTTTGCAGATTGCCCCATCAGCCAAGAAACTATGGGGCATCGAAGCGAAGGACGCGAAGTCGCTCGCCTTGAACCATTTGAATCATGAAGGCGTCTGGCGGGATCCTACGTGGGCGGCACCCGGTAAGTGACCCCAAAATTTAGTGTTACATACGAAGTGTTGAGTAATTAAAAAATAAACTGGTAAGGGTCAGATAAAGTCGTATTTGAGATTTCTTGGTTTTCCCCTTAGAAGCTTAATTTGTTTCAGTTTTCTCTATTGCGTTTCTCTCGGAATTGGTTAGCCGGTATTATTGTTAAATAAAATTTTTGCGCGGTTGTGTGTGTGTGTGTGTGTGTGTGTGTGTGTGTGTGTGTTAGCCACTTTTTTGTGAAACCCAATATGACACAAACAAAATTTTCTTATTCCCCTAAAATACAGTGTATTTTTCCATTTCGAGTCAAGAATATCAAAATAGTTTACTTCCTTTTAAAAAAGTGAATAAAAAAAATCAGTGGCGCCCTACCCTCACACGTTGGCGGTTCTTATGCATCACAAAAACAAGGTTTTATCTGAAGCTATTTTTTTTTAATTCTCGGTAGATGATACCGTAATCTAACAAATAATTTCCCAAAAAAACACGGAAAAGTTCTAATTATTAACTCTCTCCAAACTCGTGTAATATTTAATATTTTTTTTTAGTTTTTTATACCCATATATAAAATATATACTAAATTAAAATTAAGAGACTTCTGGATTATTTGCAACTTTGATAGTGCATCGAAAATATCGCTACAACTATCGATATACATAATGTGTATTTGTTTTCGGTTTTTGGATCCCAGTTTTTAATACAATACATTTTGTGGCAACGGAAGATTACGTAAAAAATGACGAAAACTAGTGCCGATGTGTAAAAACCTCTTACTGTTTCAGAGTTATATGTTTTTTCTCAAATAGTATCCGAAAGTTTCGAAGTGACATTTTGCGCACACTTGCTCCGTTCGTATTTAGTTATTTTAGGGAAGGGGTAGAAAAAACATTTTCGGCGGATTGAGATATAACCTGATGATAGTGGTCAGTTTAAAGAAAAAAAATACCAAAAACTATAAGTCTAAAAGGGTTAGGCAGTTACAAGAAATGGTAGTTTAAAAGAATTCTATGCCAGCTTGGAAGTTAAAGACACCGACAGTACTGACAAGAACTAAGAAAGCATTTAAAGCAAAGCAAAGCAAGAGAACTAATTTAAAGAAGAACGCAAATGCAAACCATACAGTAACGGACGCCTGAAAAAATGTAACCGAGTAAGCGGTCTTCCGGCGTGTCGATTTTTATAAATTGTATTTTAAAGATTGATTAAAACTTAGCAACCAAAATAGGACACTCTAGATGATATATTTCTTCTTACAAAATTGAAATTAATCGGGACCCCCACTGGATAAAATTAGTTTTTGAAACATGTGTCTCTTCGAGTAACAAATATAAAACGGCACCTTTAAATATGAAACTATGCACAAATTAAGGCGTTTTTTTATAGGGATATAATTGCAATTCTCGGAAAAACGACTTTAAACAGTTAATTACGGCGCCCTCAACATTGGTCTTTGTCGGGATTGGAAAACGGAGTAAGAGGATTACGTCTGACCTCGAATTAGATTTCCTGGGAATACGTAATAAGGCTGAGCAACAGGAAACTGTTCCGCGTTATTAGTTCGAGGAAGTAACACACGAACCCGGTGCCAAATCGGCCGTATATCTTTTCCCATTTCGGGTTATTATTTCGAAATTCGAGCTCACGCGGCAAAACCACGGAACATGTCGTGCTTGTCCATCGTAACGGGAATTGAATCAGGAATAATCTATACGAGATTCGGGAAAATTCGGCATTTTCTAATAGTCCGAGACGGTTATAGTCACCCTCATCCCCAAATTTATGTTCTATATTCACGTTATAATACTACCACGTAGATTTCAATTATTTTTTCGAATTACTTTAGCGCTCATGCAATTACATGCCCTTGCTAAAAGCCGATTAAACAAACCACCTTTAAACTTATTAAACCACTTTTAACTTAAAGTATGAAAATGCTCACCATGCATGTATATTAATAAAAGTTTCTTATAAAAGTATTTTGAATCCCAGAACTACATAAAACACTGTATTTAAATTTTTGCCTACGTGTCAAATTCAAGAGGCACCTAGCTTAACTTGCTTATTTTTAGTGTGAAGCGTATGTTTATTTAAATGCTCAGAATAATATTTATTAAAAAATGAGTAAATTTTGTCTAAAACTTGCTTCCTCAGTTTTGCCATTAAATTGAATTGGGAAAATAAGTTTTTTTTGCTAAATGATGTACTTTTATTTATTTATTTTTGTTTCATATGCCTACAAGGAGAGTGGTTACACACTGTAAACCAAATATCTGGGAATGCTGGTCACAATTTAAACGAAGGTTGGCGTTTTCCTACTATTTTAATAATTGAGTAAGAAATAATGTAAATGATAACAGTATATATATTTTTTAATTTGTAAAAAGAAATGCGATTTATAAGTGGGAGATTTTCATTTCACAATGTTAAAACGGCTTCTATTTTTCCATCTAATTTGAAAATGTAAAAAAAAGTCAATCAGTATTAAATCCGACCCTAGAAAAGGAAAGATTGTTCACTGACATGACCGTCAGAATTGACAAACGTCAAAATTCAAGCCGTGGGGTAAAATCTCCGAAAACATCCGATTGCTCCCAAACCCGTGCAGTAATATCGCGGAAATGTCCGAAGGGGCTCGGATCCCTGCGACACGAAACTCACGTGGTAAAGTGACGCTTCCCGGACGTTAGATCGGTGGATAATTAGGTATTTTACAGAAGGGAGTAGAAAAAACTGTTTCAGCGGCCTTATTATTTTGTCTACTAACACTACAATAGGTTCTTGTTTACAAATACGTTCAGTAGCAAGGACTTAAAAACGTGTTGCATACTATACTTTTCCTACGACCTTTAGTTTTGGGTACATTTTCGTAAAACATCACGAATATATTCACTGACATGACCGTCAGAATTGATAAACGTCAAAATTCAAGACTTGGGAAATATCTCCAAAAACATGCGATTGTAATATCCCGGAAATGTCCGAAGCGGCACGGATCCATGGGAAACGAATGTGACGTGGTCCGCACGCTGGAATGGTCTGTAATTAGGTATTTTACAGAAGGGGGTAGAAAAAAAAGATACGAAAGAGATTATTTAAACATCCCTATAAAAGGAGCTTGGGACGGGTAGAAACAACCTCTAAAATCGTGAATTTCTGACCTGCACGTAGCTGAATGGGGGTAGCTGAGTGTTTACCTATTATACTCATACATTTATTTATTGTCAACATCTGGCCCATAGGAGTATGTTTTACTCTGTTTTCTTCCACCATGTATTTGCAATTTTGTGCGAGTCAACTTGTTTTAGACATGCTGAATATTTTTGTAATAATTAATCTAAGGCAAAGGCGCAAAGTTTCACAGAGCAGTGTTGTTATTTTCTTGTTTTGGAAACATGTAGTTGTGGTTGAAGAGGCCCTTAAGCTCCCTTGAGGGCAGAGCTTACTCACAAAAACTGGCCGTTCTTTTGATAAAAACGTAAGCTTTTGTCAAAAGCTGTTCCGAAGTTTATGATTTAAATTATCGAAGGATTTAGAGTAATCCAGAAGTACAAGGACTTGCCATTTTGTTTTCATCAGTTGCTTTAGTCGGCAGTAATCGCAGTAATCTTTGTGAGTGCTGTAATGCAACTGATTACAAAAGATGTTTCACGCGCTATTCATTTTACTTATTTCGCTAGTTTCTAACCTAGAGTCTTACGATTGTTTGTATGGGTATAATAATAAATTTGAAATGTAGCAACAGTCATTGGCTGCATATTATTACCGATTTTCGGATCTAATTTGAATTGGAGTTTCATTGGTTTTAGTTCAAATCTCATACTGTTCTGCATTTCGTTGTAGCCTACGCATAGTGTGCAACTACTGAACTCCCCGATAATAATGAAAGAGTTATGTAATGTGTAGAACAGTAAACTAAGTAAATTTTGTAACGACCAAACCTTTTACTCATATACCCTACGCACGCTTCGTTAATCACGGGCGTGGGGTATGTATTATAACGTCAAGCCCAAGAAGGCGAAATCCTTTTTATTTAAGCGGGTAAAGCTTTTAGTGAGTTAATTCGATGCCGCGGATAATTCCTCCGGGCGAGAGGAAATTTCAGTTGAAAACTCGACTCCCGTTTAGGGTAAACAGACGTGTCGTGCCCGAGACAAAATTAATTTGTAGCCTTCATCGTTTTCGCATTCGTTAAAAGGAACACTTTCGTTCGCGCTTCGTCGCTGAATTAAAATCGATCGTTCCGGAACACTGGGTATCGTTTTCGTTTGTTCAAGGCACTTTTATTGGAATGAATAAAAAAATGTCTGCGTATTTTCGGCATTCTGTTAATGTGCAAAGTTTTATGATTATCCCTGTCTCACTTTATGCGGGTAAAAAGTGCTCACTATTTTATCCAACTATGCCCTAGTCAGGCGAGGGCAAAATCAGATTTATTAGCACTCTCGCTATAGCCACTTCGAGTGTTTTGGGAACTTTAGTCACGGGTTTGGGAGTGATCGGCCGTTTTCGGTAGATTTAGAACATTGGTTGTATTTCGATGTTAGTAAGTTCTGATGGTTACACTTCAATCAGCAAACACTCGTGTTGCATAATAGTATGTAGAGGAGGAGTAGAGGACATTTTAGTCACGGTGAGTTACGAGCCGAGCGAGTCTCTGAAAAAGTTTATACACGTGTTGCATACTATACTTCAGTACCATCAAATTTGACCAACGACAAGACACCATCAGTGTTGAAAATATCGATCGCTCCCAAATCTGTTCCTGATCAGTGCAGTGCAGTGGTTATTTTAGAGTAGGAAAAGGAGTGACATGAAGTTTGTCAACGTGTTGCAGACTATACTTTTTTTACCACCATTAGTTTTTTGGTATGTTTGTGAACGTCAGAATTTCAAAGTACGGAGTAATTAAAAGTTTTTATTTACCAAACTTGTATTATATGCTATTATAAGGCTATTAACAGCTATAAGTATAAAATAGATTTTATATTA